GGGTGAAGCCGCCTTGCGCCGGGTCACCGCCGTCCCCACTCTGCCTGGGCCTCCCCCTGCGCGGAGAGGCCATGGCACTGGGGGCTGCGGTGCTGGGTGAAGGAGCACGGGGTCAATGGAGCATGGGGATGTGGTCTCGGGGACAGCGGGGCAGGGGGATGGAGCTTGAGGGTGGCGAGAGGACAAGGGCAGCAGGGCATGAGGGTGGCAGGGCACGGGGACTGCAGGTTTAGGGCTGGGGCAGTGGGGTGTGAGGGTGATGGGTATGGGGACAGTGGGCATGGGGACGGGGCACCTCCTGCCATGAGCTGGGTGCACATGAGGTGCTGGAGGCCACAGGGGTGGGAAGGTCCCCTGGGCAGGGCTGGTCTGTGGCTGACAGTGTGTCCCCAAAGGCAGAGATGGCCTTGGTGAAGGTGGCCAAAGCCATGCTGGGGTCCACAGCAGCCCCTTACCACTCCTTGGCCTTGCATCATGGAGGGCAGTGTGTAAGGCATCCTTTCCTTCAGCATCTTCAGGGTGCCAGTATGCCTCCTGTGCGGTCGCAGGGCCTCTGCTGCCAGGGATGGGGCTGGGGGCTCCGCAGCAGCCCCTGGCCCCAGTGCCGGGCCCCCATGCCTGTGCCCACCCACCTGGCTGCTCCCCATCCTTGTCCCCTTGTCAGCACTGGGCTGGCATGCTCCAGGAGGGGTATAAAGGACCAGCACATGTGCTCCTCCTCTGTCCCTGTAGGATGTCCCCGTGGTCACTCCTGCCCACTGCACCCCACTGCCCTCTGCACTGCCAGGACCCTCAGGTACCAGGGGGCTCTGTTTGCCTGAGCATCTGCTGGGTGCTCTGGACTGCACCCTGCACACATAGTAGGTGCCATGCACCTGGAGGAACTTGTTGGCCCTCTTGCTCAGGCTGGTCACCTGGAACAGCAGCTTGGGGGTGCCCAGGTCATCGCACAGGTCAATGACATCTAGAAAAGCTGGGGGTGGGAGCTGCTGGCATGGTGAGCTGGGGACTCCCCACCTCACCGCTGCGCCCACCCCACGGGGAGCCTGTGTGGCATCCCACTGGAGATGGGACAAAGCGCTGGTGCTGCTGCCAAGGCAGGGGCGGGGAGCTACAGCCCCACAGGCAGGGTTCACCAGTGTTGGGGACCCCCACCATCCTCCTCGTGTAGGAGACCAGCTGCAGGACAGCGCAGGTGGTGTTGGCCAGGAAGCTCTGGTCATCTGCAGGGTGCGTGGTGGTGGCTGGGGGCAGCAGGTGACCCTGGCAGTGGCCACAGAGCCCAGAGGCTGAGCCCACCACCTGATGAGGCCACGGCATGTCTCCCCTGTGCTGGGGAGCAGGCACCCGTGGGATGGCCAGGAGGGGACTTACCCCTATGCTTGAGGTAGATGGACATGCTGCGGGTGTGAACCCGGGACCGTGGATCTGGGATGGTGGGCCAGGACAGTGGAGCTGGCCCCAGGGGCCTGGGACAGTGGGGTTGGATCCTGCCCCACGGCGTTTGTGAGGACAGCAGTGGACAGGCATGGGTCTCCAGCACAGCAGAGCTTTATTGCAGTGGGAAACACAAGCACAGGTGAAAGAGCAGTGCGGTCCCAGGGGGACAGCTGGGCTTGCCCGGTGCCCTGGGGGCAGCAGCCCTCAAGGCCACGGGTGACACAGTGGCTTGGCCCCTCAGGCCCTTGGCACTTCTCAGCCCTGATGTCCCTGTCAGTCGGCCAGCGGCTCCTGCCTGCTTGGCCACAGCAGGACTTGGCATCACCTAGGGTTGGGCCCCTGGGTTACCCCCTCGCTGGGACACGTCCCTGGGTGTGATTGCCGGCACCTTGGAGCAGGGAGAGAGGATCCAAGCCCCCAGCAGCTCCAACATGCCCAGCGCGGGGGCCCATCAGCCCTCCCATGGCTCTGCTGCACTGTGGCAACCCTGCAAGGGGTCCCCTGCACATGGCAGAGCCGTGGTGGGATGTCACTCTGCCCTCCTGGATGCCCAAAGGGCAGGGCAGGTGCTGGCACCCAGAGCAGCACCCAGTGCACCTGATGCATCACACGCATGCAACAAGTAGTGCACCCAGGGTGCTGTGCAGTGCACCCAGTGCACCACCCAGCGCACCCAGTGCACCACCCAGCGCACCCAGTGCACCACGCTCACCTAGCACCCTGCAGTGCAGTACAGCCGCTGTGTCACAGGGGGCTGAGCGTGGCCATGGCAGGGAGCAGGGCTGGGGGTCCCAGGCATTTGGTGAAAGCAGGGTGGGAGTGGAGAGCAAGGTCCCTGGGGCGGTGAGGTTTTGTGCAGCGGGGGTGCGGAGAGTGCAGGGCGCAGGGGTGCGGGAATGCATCACACTCTCACGTAGCTGTTCTTGTAGGGGCTGTGCTCACGAGGGGTGGCTGGGGCCCCGGGCGTCACAGACGGCTGGTGGTTGCTACTTTCCCAGAGGGGCTCATAGCTGTCCTTGGCGGGCAGCTCACTCACGTGGCAGATGTTCTCACTGTAGTTGGGCTTGAAGCTCTCCACGACGTCTTTGGGGACTCCAGCCCATTCCTCCGGGGAGCAGAGCAGGGTGAGAGGAGCCACCACCCAGCCTAGCCCCAACCCCATGGGGCAGGGGGTGAGCCTGGGGCAGGGCTGCCTGCAGGTGCCTTACCTGGAAGTTGCCGTTGTGGGTGATGAAGAGCTCATCGAAGTTCTTGCTGGGGTTGGGGATTTGGGGCATAAGGATGACCCACACCCTGTGCAGGAGAGACACGTCAGAGGAGAAGAGCCCCAGCACTGCCGCCCCCCACCTAGCCCCTCACACTCACCTTTCCATGCGCACCAGCAGGACAACAAGGACCAGCAAGAGCAGGCAGGAGGCAATGGGGATCAAGACTGTGTGGATCCAGAACCAGTGCAGCTGCTCCTCTGCCGTGCCTGGAAATAGATGGGGTGACATGGATCCCCAGCCGGCACACTGCCACAGCAATTGGGTGGGCATGCTGGTGGCCCTTCGTGGGTGACCATGGGAGCTCAACATCCTCCATGGCAGGGCTCGGCTGGGAGAAGAGGATGGAGAAGGGGCCCATACCCAACCCCTGCCATGCTGTCACCACAACTGGCTGGTGACCCTATCCTGGACCAGCCGTGCCAAAGCAGCCCTCCAGCGCTAAGAAACCCCTGGCAAAAGCCAGCAGGTCCTGTTGGGGGGGGGGGGGGGGTGGTTGGCTTCCAGAAGTGCAAAGGACACAGCAGCTGATGCTGCTTACATCTCAGGTGCCCAGATGGGTCTCACTGCTCCTGCCTTGGGCCAGTTCTCCATTTGCTTTGCCATCCCTTGCCTGCTGAGCCCCACCATGCCCCATCCCATCCCACTGCAGTCCCCAGGACCTACCCTTGCTGGTATAGTTGTTGCCCCAGACCACGGGGACGCTCCACTCGCTCCAGAGCTGGGTGCTGCCGCAGTAGCTGTTGATCTTGCTGCGCACGTAGAAGGTGTAGTACTTCTCATAGTCCACGCTGGGGAAGGAGAAGACGTCTCCTTTCACTAGGTGCTCCTGCAGAGAGATGTGGGCCATGCAATGAGGGCCAGCACTGGCACAAAGGCTTGTGCCCAGCTTGTCCCACAGGCACAATCGCAAGGTTGCCAAGTCCAGGGGGCTCTCACCGTCCAGCTGGTGTCCTTGTTGCTCTTGTATTTGACAGCGTGCTCCAAGCACTGGGCTTTGGGGTATGGGGAAGTCCAGGTCAGCTGCAGCTGGTTGCCGCTCATGTTGTGGATGGTCAGGTTGACGGGTGCATCTGGTTTCACTGGAAGGCACAGGTGGTACCCTATGAATGTTGTCCCCATGCCCTGGTGGCCCCACTGCCAGCCAGGACATGATGGAGCAGCCCTGGGGAGAGAGGGTGTCCCCCACCATTCCGTACCCAGGTCCTGCAACTCCATGCGCTTGCTGGGGATCTCCAGGGTCCTGCCACCAAGGCTGGCATTGACGAGGACGTAGAAAGGCTGGAACTGGATGATCTCTCTCTGGCTGAAGCGGCAGCCGACGTTGACACCCTTGTCCTGCAGGTAGTGCTTGCACTCCACCACGGGGGACCTGTTCTCGTACCTGTGCTGCAGCTGGTTACCGGGGCTCCCTGAGACCCCACGCACCCCAGCCCTCCCTGGGACAACCTCTCCCTGGTGCATCCCATCCTGCTTGCCCTGGGGACAGAGCCTCCCCCACCCTGGGCTCAGGGAAGTGGAGCAGGCTGATGCTGGGACCAGCGATGCTGACAGTAGCCCCCCGTGCAGTGACCCACTGCTGGATAACCTGCTGTGGGGCTGGCCATGGGGCGGGTCACCTACCAGTAGTAGAGGGAGTAGTTGGCTGTGAGCGTCTCTCTGCTCCCCCACATGCAGCTCATGTGCTCCTCGTTGAAGACGACACACTCCACCTCTGCAAGGGACAAACACCATTGGGCATCGCAGCAGTGGGAGGCTGCACCAGGGCCTGGGGGCGCACCGGGGAGACAGAGCACATGCCAGGGGACCCTGCGCATCCCCCGTCAGCTCCATGTGAGCCAAACAAGCCCAACTCTTCCCAGCAGAGCTGTGGTGCAGCCTGCCTGCAACGCTGGGCCCCCACCATCCCATTCACACATGCTGTGTCAGTGATTCTTGGGCTGCCAGCAGCCCCACATCTTCCTCCGAAGGACCACTGGCTGAGCAGCTGCCCCTCCCTCACCTATGCTGTTGGGTCGTCACGCTGTGGATGTGGTGTTTCACCCTGATTCTTCCATCTGCTTTGCTTAGTGACCCTGCAGCTGCTGTTTGCAGCTCCTTGCACTGTGGGACAGGATGGAAACCCCTTCCTGCCAATCCATTTTACTTGTCCCATGAGAAAGTCGGGGGTGGGGGGGGTGGGTGTTGGGGGTGTTCCAGGATTTGTGCCTGATGTCTCCATCCTGGCTAAATTCATCTGACTGTTACACTTTTGGGTGCTTGCAAGTGCCCATGTGTGTCTGGGTGGTAGGGGCTATGCTGGGCTGTGCTTCCCACTGCAGCCCCTCCTCCACGGGGCCAAGGGCTGAGCCCCTGTGGTTTGACCTCTGCAGGAAACACCACCAAACCCTGGAAGGCCGAGCAGCTGCTCCAGGCACCCACGCTGGCTCCTGCGCCTGCTCCTTCCACCACACAGTGCCAGCCCTGGTCCTGCCCACGCAGCCAGAGGCCACATCCTGGGCTGGCTGGGGGCTGCGGGGCCACCGGGGCAGTGCTGGTCCCCACAGCAGGCATCGCACTGCAGTCTGCTCTGGCAGCCGCTGGCATGGCTTGCTGGGGGGACAAGCTCCTCTGATGGACTGAGACACCTTGCAGAGCCCTTGCAAGTGCCAAACCAGCTGCTGGCAGCTGAGAGCTGTTCTGGAGGCTCCTAGAAAATGGGATTTTTCCACCTAAAAGTCACGCAATGGGAGTCCTGGTCCCTTCCAAGGTCCAAACTCACCAGCCAGCACTATGGGGGCAGAAGAAAGCCAGAGCTGGGCTTTTCTGAGGTTGTAATGTAACATGAGTGCTCCAGCTGTTTCTGCACATGGAGATGGAGGGTACCTTCCCAGCAGCTCACCCAGGAAATCTAGGGGATGCAGAGGGGCTGCATTTCCACGGAAAGCTGATGTTTTACTGACGGCCAGCCAAGAAGTGGATTTTTTTCTTGGAAAATGGTGGCTCGAGCGAGGGTGCAGTGTGGGAAGAGGAGCCGCTGTCCCCTGCCTGCGCACAGTAGTGCTGACATGACTGGAATGGAAAGGGCGGCTGGCGTAGATCCACCGGCTGCGGCCCTGCCCAGCTGATGCACAGGGCTGATAGGATCTGCGCATCACATCCTGCCGCTGCTCTCCACCCCAGCCTGCCACGGAGGACTCCTATGGTCAGGGTCCCTCATGGTAGTGCTACCTGCAGGGCTGGCAGAGCTGTGGGGCCAGGAGCTGTGAGGCCAGGAGAGCTGCAGGGCCGGTAGTCATGGGGCTGGCGGTGCCAGTGATGCTCCAGCGCCAGGGCGGGAGCAAGGACACTCAACAGGGCTCCCTGGCACACCCCGGCTCTCCTGGCAGCCCCACTACAAGGGGCCATGTAGATGCCAGGGGTCCCAGGGCGCATCGGGTCTCTAGTGCACACCCCAACAGCTCGCCAGCCCACACAGCCCCATGTCCTGTCCTCCTTGCCCGCCATCACCAGGAAGTCACATCACCCAGCCGCACCACCCATGGGGCACTGCGGCCTCCCGCCCACCCGGTGCCCATGTGCCTCTTACCTGGGGTGCTTCGGGCATCAGCAAGGTAGGGGCCCAGCCCAAAGAGGAGGAGGAGGATGGGTGCGAGGAAGGCAGC